TGTGTGTGTGTGTGTGTGTGTGTGTGTGTGTGTGTGTGTGTGTGTCATTAGATTTTTTATGACATTTTGCTGTGTGGAAGGTTTGCCTTATCTCAAGGTCCTGCTCATTCTCTCTCCCACACATGCTGCACAGACTTGATGACACCCAGTGTGAAAAGTCAGCATGACCTGAGAATACAATAAGTGAAATAAAGGAGTAAAAGAGCGGTGGTTATGATGAGACACTGCTGCATCTGTGTTGGTGGTTTTCTGATTCAACTTAAATGCTAGACATTACAAACCCACTGAAGTGTGTGATAAATTTAAACTTGTAAGGTTAATTAAAAACACCAATTTTATTTTTCTGCTGGAAAGCACTTTGCTACAGCAACTGCTACCTTATGTGTGCCCTGTAAACAAACAAATAAACAAACAAATAAATAAATATAATCAATTAAAATCTAAACTAAAAAGAAAACTATTGCGTTTGCTTTAAAAATATCTGCTGCTTACTGTGGTAAAAGCTGTCCCTTGCTGTTGATTGAGTTATTTATCAGTGTTTATGCCTGAAGCCAGACCAGTAATTCGTTTTACTCTACACATAGATCATTTATGTTATTATTTATATTGCTATCACACATTTTAGCCAAACTGCAGAATTGAATTTGCTTCTTTTCTTTGGAATTAATACCGCTCGCGCTACCGAAGCGGAACCTTTTCGGAGCAACACTGGCGGAGAGGACTCTTTATAGACGAACACCGGCAGCTTCCGGTCAAATTTGTTTTGAATTTTTTTTTAAAAAGCTGGAGCGAGACATTGTCAGGTACTTACTCTGGGAGATAATATGCATTATATTGTTATTATTAAGTGATTATGTTAAAATATTTTTACCCAGAACATTCGCGGAGGTGGCGGGAGAGTTTCGTTGTGGTGTCATAAAACATAAAGACTTTGTATCGTACGTTAACGATGTGTTACGTTAAGTTGGTGAGCCTCTCCGCTGCTAACGTGTCGTATGTTCTCTTACAGTAACTCAGACAAATATCTAAAGGGTCCATTTTGATGTTTAAATGTGTTGTTTTTTTTGTTTGTTTGTTTTTTTTTAACACTTTGTGATTTACACGGTGCTTGCTGTCGTCCCTGTGTGTCAGACATGTCCACACTGTTCCCCTCTTTGCTCCCCCGGATAACGGAGTCGCTGTGGTTTAACCTGGACCGGCCATGTGTGGACGAGACCGAGCTGCACCAGCAGGAGCAGCAGCACCAGACCTGGGTAAACTCCTCTGCTCCAACACCGAGTCATCATCCTCACTCCTCCTGTTCGTATCTTAACATGTGCTCTCTGTGCTGCTTTCAGTTGCAGAGCATTGCTGAGAAAGACAACAACCTGATGCCCATTGGGAAACCTATTTTTGAGGTACCAGCTCGAAACACACAGCGGTTCCATAGTTTCATCCATTTCTGCATCTGAACTGCGGCTAGTGGTCCCACAAATCTGTCCAGTGTTTGTGTTCTCTTGTTTGTTGTCTGTTTGTCTTTGCTTTTTCATTCTCCCTGCCCTTTACCCTCACCCCAACCGGGTGAGGCAAATGGCTGCCCTACCTGAGCCTGGTTCTATTAGAAATTTCTTCCTTTTAAAAAGAAGCTGTTTTGGCTCCACGAGAGCCAATATGCTTGCTCATAGGGAATCTTTGATTTCGTTGGGTTTTCCATGTATAATTTTGTAGGGTCTTAAGCCTAATTATCAATCCTATTTAGTCAGATAGTTTGTTAGAGTATGAAATATTGCAGGGTGTTAATGTTAGTTGGTCAGTTAGATGTTATGCCATATAATATTTTAGAGCGTTAACTGTTATATCTAAATTGCTCAGTTAAGTGAACATAATATATAGTTTAGGTCTCAGCCTAAATATTTAAGCTTGTAAGGTGCCTTTGTAATGCCAGCCTTATTACTGTGCAGGAATGCACTTTGACTCCACGGCTTAAATGTGCTATATAAATAACGGTGACTTGATTACTAAGGTTACATGCTTTAATTCTTTTTCTTTTATTTGTTAATGTTAACATGTTGCATTTTACATGTTTGTGTCTGCAGTTTTTTGTTTCAGCTTTATCTTAGTAGTTGTAATGTTTCCTTCTGGGTGTCCTGCGTTCAGATTGTCTTAATAGTGGTGTAATGATAAAGTTGTTATTATTTATCTTGTGTAATCTGCTTTTGCTTGGCACAGGCGGGCTATGAAGAGGAGGAAGAAGAGGATGACGAGGATGAAGAGGACAGTGAGGAAGACTCTGAAGATGAGGAAGACATGCAGGACATGGATGAGATGAACGACTACAACGAGTCACCTGATGACGGCGAGATCAATGAGGTGCTTTAATTTATACTTTGGAGCATAGTTTCTCCAGGACAACGTTTATAGCTTGTTTCTGTTTGGAAGTGGAGCAAATTAATAATTAAATCATGTCTTTTATTTTAGAATAATAAAAAAAAAAACACAAAACTTTATTGATTTATTATTTTGTTAACATGTGTTCTCAGATTTGGTGTTTTTATATGCTAGAAGTAATGTCATTAGTAAAACAGGTGGTCAGTACCATAGTTGAGGACTTCCTCCTTAAAAATACATTGTGACAGTCTCAAAAACACATATTCCGACTTTCGGGGTTTCAGACGTAACAAACTAAAGAAAACAATCCTGTCATGTTTAAGGGCTGGACTTTCTGTGTCAGTATTCTTTTTCAGAATCTGTTTGTAGCTCTGACATGTATGGCTAAATAACTGAAATATTATAACTTGACGCTGTTTAGCAGAGAAGATTTTTACAGTGTTTGAGCAAAAATGTGGGTGAACTGGTGTGCTTGAGCTGCAGTAAGTGAGGAGGTGTGAGTCAAGACAGGGGCAAGAACCTAATAGATTCACATTTTCTAAAGGAAGAAAGTATATCTAAAGCAGGAAATGATTATTTTCATGGGGGGAAAACATATAAGATTTTCTAATTAAATGCAGTAGTATAATATCTTTGAATTAAATATTATTTATGTTTCTCCCCTCAGATGGAGAAGTAATCGTCTTTAATCTTTCTATGTTTCTTCTCTTCTGTCAGGTGGATATGGAAGGACCAGACCAAGACCAAGATCAATGGATGATTTAAGACAATTTTAGTCTCCATCAAACCTTTTGGCCCTGGATATCTGCTCCTTACCTAAAGTATGACTGCTGCCCCTTCAATCTGTGGACAAAAATATAGTTGAAACACCACAGAATACTTTAGAGGAAGGTCAGTGCATTTGTCTAATTCAAGCTGCAATCAGTCAGTCGTCGGCCTAGTGACCACTGGACATTGTTGGACGTTGCTGTGGGTGTTGCTGCCTGTCACACGTTTATATGCTGGTGTGAAAAAGTAGCTGCACAGGTGTATGCTTCAGCGCCTGTGTACACATCATGTTTTGTGTTGTTTTGAGTGGCAGCCTACGACTCTGGTAAGTACATTTAACCATTCAACCAGTTGAAAAACAGTTGGAGACAAACTCAGTGCTGTTGTTTTGCATCAATGCAATGGCAGCTGGGGCCCAGTGATCTCTCATTTAAACTTTAACCCTGTCATATCATCAGTCATGTGCTGCTGATTTTCACAGCAGCTGACTGAGCACAAACAAGTTCAGTCAGCAAAATAATTTGTTACCTATGAAAAGGACCCATAGATACTTCACCATATATTCTGTTTCATTGGACTGCTGTGTGAGTTGCTGATGTTTTATTACAGATGTCATACCTTTGGTGAAACAGTCATAAAAGACGTCATAAAATCATGTTACGCTAGGTGAAACAAATTTAAATATTTTTGACCTATGTCCAAAGCATACGCTGCCCATTCTCATGAAGAAATGTTCATAGAATTATCAGCACACACGGTCCCTATTTAAATTCTGTCATGTTTGTGTTACAGAATTGTTTACCAAGACTTTGATTATTTGTACTGAAATTATTGAAGATTTTGACTGTTTGTATTAAATTATTTTCATCAGGCCATGTTTTTGCTTTTCTACATTTTGGTTTCTGATGAATAAATAACAAAATGTCACATGGCAGTGAGCAGTGTAAGCTGGATTTATGTTGACTCATTGTTTGTTATGAAGTAAATATAAAGACTAATACTGATAAATTCACTTGAATTTGGTAATTGGTTGATATTTTGGTGTCCACAATGCTCGGCTTTACTAAATGACAGTTTTCAGTATTAACGTTTTACGTCAGTTCTCCAAGTTTTTGTTAAATTTATTATGAATTTGTTCTATAAATATAAAATACATTTTTCTGCAACAAACCAGCAATTTTTTTTTTAAAGATACATTTATGTTTATTACTTTTTTGACAGAAGATTGTGACAAGTAACAAAGATTCTCAGCAAAATTAAAAGGTGAACATTGTGCACGTTGGATTATCAAACTGGTACATGACTATTTCTTTTCCTGATAATGCTCCTTTTTTTTCACCCAGGAGAGGGCGCTGGTACTGAGGTATTTTGGAAGACATTCCTGCATTTCCTTTAATTGACATGTAGTACAAACCAGAAACTGAGATGCTATGATTTTCATAGGATAATTAATTTTTATCACAATTTTCCTTGAAAAAAAAAAACTTCAACATGGGCTATACCTTCACACATTGCCAACCCTGAGAGGTATATAGAGTGTGATATATCGGTCTACTTGATTCCCAGGTACACCAGCTCAGCCATCCCATCCCTGATACCCTTGCTATACTCCAGTGTGGCCCGGTGGATCTTCCATTCATACAGGCCGCTCTTGCGAAGGTATCTGAGGAACTTAGGAGCTCCAGGAAACAGCACGTTGTCAGCCAAAACCATAGATCCTTTTCCCAGCAATCCAGAGCCCTCCAGCATCTGTAACACACAGTGGCAGCAAGTCAGGAACCTCAAACTGCTCATTTTATCCAGTCATACTTCTGACAGGATGAACGATAAGATAGAATTCTAATTCATAGCTGAATGCACCTTCTAAGGGTTTATTCTAGTTACCTGCAGATCAGGGAGATAGCACTTCTTCCAATGGTCCATGAAGACAAAATCCAGCCTCTCCAGATTGTAGTCAGACCGAAGACAAGGAATCACCTCATCAGACGGGTTCACAATGAGCTCTACCTAAAGAACACAAAGCATCTCAGAGGTATAAATTGTTGGATTTTCAGTACATGAAATAAAAATGTTCCCAGTGATGGTTACAGTATGTAGCGGGGCAAGTTGTACAATAAATAAAGTACATTGGATATACAGTGAAATCTTAGATAGTATGTTGTCTCACCGTATCATCATCAAAACCTGCCAAGCGAATGATTTTCTCCGCAATGGCAGCATTCCTCTGGTCCATCTCGATGCTGTAGAGCCTGGCTCCCAGCGGCAGACTCCGGGCGATCCGTACGGTACTGTAGCCACAGTGGGCACCCAGCTCCAACACTGTCAGAGGTCTCTGCTCCATCAGCAGCCGATCCAAGATCTTCCCTAAAACACAGAGGAACCAGACACACACAAGACATACATATATCTGCAGCATTTCTCTAAGGATTTAGACTTTAGTGTCATTTTTCTAATATATAATATATTTAATTTAAAAAAAACATTCTCAATAAAATATCTTCACCTTTTTTAGGCCCAATGTTGCTGATGAACTCCACTTTGCTGCACCAGACATCAAAGGCATCCAGGATGCTGTCAGGGTCTCCAGGGGTGGCGTGAGTCAGGACATACTGATAAGCCCGCTCCTCTCGAGTCAAACCAGTAACACAGTCCTTCCATGTCCTGACCAGAACTGCCCGGTACAACAGCACAAAGTAGTAACGGTACTTGATGATCACTGTCAGCAGGAGGGGGAGGAAGGCCAAAGCAATAGCAGGGGACACCATCCTTGATATAATGGAGAGAAACACACACACAAGTAGAGTTGCCATGCATACGTATTTATGTGTTAACAAAGTGAATGCCATGTCCTCTTGTGCACTTTTAAATGAATCGTTACATGAATAACGTACCAGATGTTTACTGCAGGATTTCTGAGCTTCTGCTTTCTGCTTTTACGCTTGTTATCCAAGATCGCTAAATTACTGCACTTTATACAACATTTATTCTTAAACTGTGTTGCTCTGTAGAGTAAAATACTAAATAAATCTTGTTTAAAAATATGCTTTTGTCTTTTTCAACTGACATCTGCTAAGAAGGCAACACAAAATGAGAGAAAAGAACACCACAGTCCACAAATTTACTGATTTATCAGTTGGCTATGTCATCAGGCAACAATGGATTATCACAGTAACATCAGCTTATATATTGTCCAGCATACACTGATATGAAAAGTTCTTTTTAAAGCATAATACAGACAAAGATGCTTGGGTTAGTTAGGAACAGTGCCATCACGTAGTTTCCCTGCAGAGCTGCTCAGACTCTATTGTTTACAACTCCCCCAGCTCTGTCTGCAGCACATGTGGCAGAGTGTGTATCTACATATCACAGCTTTGTCTTCGAGGTCAGTTGCTACCTAGCCTGTGAATTATGTTGCTGGGAAGTTAATAAACAATGACCCTATCATTTTCCCTTTTCAATGTAACTCTATATGTAAACAATATCGGCTGACATATTCTTATCAGGGCTGCACGGTGGCTCGGTGGTTAACACCGTCACCTCGCAACTAGAAGATCCCCGATTAGCATCCTGGTTAGGACACCTGGGATCTTTCTGTGTGGAGTTTGCATGTTCTCTCCGGGTTCTCCGGCTTCCTCCCACAAAGTCCAAAAACATGTTGAGGTTAATTGGTGATTCTAAATTGTCCATAGGTGTGAATGTGAGTGTGCTTGGTTGTCTGTCCATAAGTGTGGCCCTGTGATAGACTGGCAACCTGTCCAGGGTGTCTCCTGCCTTCACACACACTCTCTCTAGTGAGGATTAAGCGGTGTATAGATAATGGATGGATGGATTTTCATATCAAAATTTCTTACTGTCTAAAGTCCACATCAACCCCAAAAATCCAGTTGGACTCTATTTAAAAGTATTTTTTTTCTGTCTACCTAAAAGGATAAATCTAACTTTTATATACTTGCATAACATGAGTAACCAAAGCCATATGTGACTGCTTCAAAACTACAGATAAGTCACTCACAATTGCCATAAGATCTATAATTATTGCAATGAAAGAAGAAGAAATATTCAGAATTGTGACAGAATACTACTGATAATTATGCCACATTATAGGAAAACAGTCTTTATCTCAACATACAAAATATTGTGTTGATTAAACTCTTCTTGAAATGACTGCTCTCATTGTTTTTAATTATGTAAGCTGACTTCTATATAGAAACTAGCCTCCATGCTTTCGGCTAGTACTGGATGGTGTGCCTCTCTAGAGGTTTCTACTGCCTCAGGTAACTTTGTGGTGTCTCCAGTTACTTGGAGGCTTTCTGCAACACACTCAACAGATGCTACAACCAATGTTTGCGTCACAATAAAAATCTCTCTCACTGTCCCATGAAAAACAAAGCAAACTCACCTGTTTTCTTAAAAGCAGAGCAGAAGCGCTGGAAGTTGAAAAGCGACACTTGAGCAGAGGCAGGTGCAGAAATACGAAGAGAGAGTAGAGTGTGTGTTTAAGAGGAGGTCAGAGACGCCACAGTATGAATAATTTATGTATCACGTGCATGACAGTGTCCTGTAATTATTCCACATTATTAGACAAAGACAGCGGCATAATCAACACTACAACTGATGTACATCAGTTTATGTCGTTTTTGACGAGACATGCAGATTTTATCATGTTCAGATATTCAAAACAGGATGAACACTGTGAAAAAGGAGCAGACAGTGATACAGAGAGAGCCAGTGTGAAACTGCCACTTGATATATCAAGTTAACATCAACAGGTGTGTGTCTTTGTGTGCTTTTATGGGGTCACATTTCTTTTTTCACTGATGGAAAAATAAAGAAAAAGTCAAAGAACAGCTAAATTTATATAATACTGTCTAACTCAATACAAAGTTTGTATAAAAGTTTATTAAATGAAAAACTAACAAGAGTAGAATCATGTTAGATACAAATAAATACACAATAAAATGCAAAAAGAAAAAAAAAATAGAGACCAAACCCAAAATGAAACAATTTATTGTGTACATGGCATCATGCATCCCATCCTTTGTTCCTCTTCAGTGCTTCCCTTCTGTTGTGATTATAGCGTATTTTATTGCCGTCATGTCATTCCACATTAAGTGTTTTCACTCATTAAACGACATCTTTGAGAGTTTAGCTGCTGTGAAAGAAAAACATCAAATAATAGCAAAAAAAAAAAAAGTCCATTATATTCATGCTGCAGCCTTAATGTGTGTGAAAGTAATAACATACTTTGATATGATAGGTAGTATAAGAAAAAAAAAACCTTACATGTAAAACATACACCCCAGTGATCTTAACGAGTCACTCTTTAATTCAGTGAATAACTGGATTAATGGGTTACATTTTGTCTCTTGTATGTACACAAAAATATACAAATACTGCCCCAGCTGTAACTACACTGCATGCCCTGTGTGGTAGTGACTTTTGGAACAATGCCTCAGGATCACTCGCTGCTTGATATTCCCAGAATTAAGGCATAATTGGTGATTACAGCAAGTCTTTGGTCATTCATGAATCCATTCTCTGTAAAAAACCAACAAACTAAAAAACGTTTGCTTGTCGGTGCAATAAAATTATGTTCTGTTTTACTGGAAAAGGGGAATTAGTGATACACAAAATTATATGTTTAAGGAAGCTTTGTTTGGTTATCGATTGTGTAACATTTCCCAGTTTGTATCCACATTCTGGTGACTTATTTGCTGCTATTTAGGAACTATTAACTGTTGTTTATTCAGCAGGTAATTCCTGACTTATTTACTACTTTCGATTTTATATATCCTGTAAAAGTGTTGCATCCACAGGACGAACCTGCAGTGGTTGATGATAGCTCTGCTGTTTATAGCTCTGGACACGGCTGTTTAAGGAGCACTCTGATGAACTTCTTCAGCTCCTTGTCCCCTCTGCTCCACCTCACCAGTCGAGTCAGCACCAGTCTTCCCTCGTCAGCCTGAGCCAGGGCAAGGTACCATCCACCCTGGCCCCCGTTGCCCACCTTTCCTCCTTCTTTTGCCAGTCTCCTGTCGACCTGTTCCTCCACTGTCCCTCCGTCTTTGTTTGTCTCTGCAGAGTCCAAACCAGGACAAGTACAAGTACCTCCTTCCTGCAGCCACAGAGCGCTGTGGGCCATTGCGCCTCCAACCTCCTCTGCCCTCTCCGCACCTCCCCCTGCCCACCTCAGGATGCGGCTGCGGGCTGTCGGCACCAGCTGACGGTCACCTCCCACTGTTGACACGCTGCCCAGACGCATCTTAAATGCTGCGACAGAGACAGAGATTATACCATTCAACAGGTGTCGCTTTGGACACATCGTAAAACAACCTCTGTCGCTTTATGAGGAGATAATCTGTTCTGTGGCCTGTTTTTTTAGCAAGAATCTTGTTTTTTTTTTTATAAAGATCATGCAGCATTCTGCTACATTCCTCAAAGTAGAGAAGGATGTGTTTGTGTCTCCACCAGCTTGTTCTCACCATAAGGACTTTGGCAGAAGTTCTCCTGAATGTCAGTTTCTCCTTCAGCAGCCAGACTGCAGGCATCGCAGATAACACTCCCTGGGGGATGGAAAACAGAAATAATGAGATGACTGCGATTGTCTGCAGTGAGGATGGAAAACTTTCCTGGAAAAATGCAAACACCAGGATCAAAGCATAAAAAAGGTGAGACTGGATAGAATTAAATTTAATTGACCTCCAGGAGGGAAATTCTGTGGTTACAGCACAAAAACAGGCCAGAGAGGTACTAGAAAACACATAAAATGGTTTTAGAAATGAAATTAGAAGAAATAATAAAACACAAAAAAAACAATAAGGAAACTATTTTGAAAAGTTACATGAATTACACATGTCACGATCCCTTATGCCGTATACTGATGATAAACTGTTGAGGCTGATCCTGACATCAGTAGGAGAGAGTGAAAAATATCTGGCTTTGTTGTACTCGATTTCATGCATTATACTAAAATATGCATGCAAAGATAATACCAGTGGTGAAAGAAGTATTCAGACATTTTTCTTCAGCAGAATATAATTGTAGCAATGTAAAGAGTCCTGCATTCAAAATTAGAAGTACAAAGGTATAATGAGCAAAAGCACTCATTCTGCAGAACAATGGCTCCTGTTAGTGTTATATTATTACATTTGACAGCATTAGATAAATATTAATGGAACAAAGTGTAAACAGAAGCATCCAACATACTTCTTAGTACTATTTTAACTACTTTAAATACAGTTTAGCCCAGCGATTCCCATTGCAGTGGTCACAGTACAACTTGAAGGTGTTACAGATTAAAGCGAAAGTAGGAAATAAGAAGAATTATCACAAATTTGTGTTATTTAATTAACTTTTTTGTTGGTAGTTTTACCTATTTAAGCCTTCAACAAGAGAATGCTTATTAGTTAATTATCGTCAAAATCAGGAACATGTGTTACTTCTCGGCTGGACCATTGTAGTTCCTTCACATCAGGATGGCCTAGTAACTCTCTGAGAAACCAAAATGATCCAAAATGCTTCAGCCACAGTTCTGACAGAAATCGGCAAGAGAGACTGCATTTCTCCCATATTAGCTTCTCATCTCAATGGCTCAATGTAAAATCCAGGATAGAATTTAAAATCCTTCTTTAACCATATAGGATGCCTAATAACCAAGCTCCGTCTTATCTTAAAGACCTTATGGTGCCATATTACCCCAACAGAGCACTTTGCTCTCAAACTGCATGTTTACTTGTGGTTCCTAAGGTCTGCAAAAGTGGGAGACAGATTATTTAGCTATCTCAATTCAGGTTCCAGGGCAGACCCTTTTCTATTTCAAGATTAGGCTTCAAACCTTCCTTTTAGATAAAGTTAATACTGAAAGCTGGCTTTAGTTATGCTGCAATAGGCTGCTGCATCTCTTCTCTTCTCTCCTACACTCCCACACATTAGATGCTACCATTACATATCACTCACTTTGTGCCTTTTCTTTTGTATGTTTTTTATTTCATCCTCTCTGCAGGTATCTCTGGCTTTAGAGCTACATGACTCTGATTTGCAGTCAGTGGCCTCACCAACCTCCCCATTTTTTTTTCTCTTATGCATTGTTTGTCTGTTTTCTATCTGCTATCTGGTCCTCTCTCCCCTTCACCCTTACGACTGAACCTGGTTCTAGCTGTCACCAAGGAGCTGCTCTAAAGGAATATTTGGGTTTGTCTCCAGAATATTACATCACAACTGAACATAAAACTTTATTAATCTCACAGGAAATTACTTTGCCAGATATCGCACAGACAAAATGTAAAATTGCATAAGTAGTGCCTAGTAAAAAAAAAAAAAAACTAGATATACATATGTTACATTACTGAAATAACACAAGTAAGCTAAACTAAGATTAGAAAAGAAAAGCACAAGGGTCATTCCACCTCAATTCACTGGATTTCAGAAAATCTTCCCTCATGACCAAAACTAAACTTGTGGTTAAAAAAAAAAATAAAAAATCTAATTGGGATCTCTTTTCAGTTTGCTGGGCACATTTTTTAAATGCTGATTCAAAAGGTTTTAATTGTTTATTCACTTGTGCACTGTATGTGGCAGTGATTTAGGATGAATTGTGTGGGTGCTATATAAATCAAATTGAAATGAATTTAAAAATCCCATTTGTAGGTGAGCCACAAACCAACAGTCTTTCATTGTGTCTCAGGAGCTTGTGGTCTTTATGTAACGCCTTCATCTGGAGGCTGGCTGTGCCATATTATGTGTCACTTTTTTCCTATTAAATCGAGTTAAAACTGCACTAAAGTAGCTACAGAAGTTGAGGAAAGTCTATCGGTGATTAGGTAAACTATGGATTAAATGTTAAAGCTGTTCTGTATCCTCTCCTGTCTGACAGAACCAGATCCGTCCACTGACCTTTCAGCGCCTCCTCGTGTCTGACCTCCTCCGCCGTGCGCTCCTCCTGCTCTCCGGTGGCCGGGATGCACAGCTCGGTTCCGCGGGGGAACCGGCTACAGTTGAACATCTTGGGCCAGGGGAATCCGAAGGCGCTCATTACGGGCACGCAGCCGTCCCGCACCGCCTCGCACAGGCTCCTGCAGGGGCTGAGCGGCCCGCTGAGCTCCGGCAGACACACCGGGGCGAACAGCGAGCACAGGAACTTCTTGGTGTCCCGGTGGCACAGTTTGGAGATGAGGGGCAGCCAGGCCGCCGACTGCTGCTGGGCCTCTCTCAGGGAGTCGTGGCCGAGCAAGTTGGGGATCCACATGCGCCTGTAGCCGATGCCGTGGCACAGAGACAGGGTGCTGGGGATGGGTTTGCACACCGAGCGGACCGACGAGCTAAAGCCGAGCGACGGCGGCCCGAGCTGGGCAGGAGGCACCGTGTCCGAGGCGCGAGAAAGTGTGAACAGCAGGGCAAAAGTTAGCAGCAGGGCAGACATTGTTGTTGTTGGGAGGGGAAGAGCTGCTGCTCTTCTGCCTGGACTTGACCGGCCTGGAGGTGTAAACAAAGAGGTGTGGAGGAAGCAGGGGGTAAATGAGAGGGCAGGCGCCTCCCAGTCATCATCCCACCCACAGACCGCTGTCTGCAGGCAGGGGAGTGTCGTAGGCTCCACTTAGTCATGCATGTTGCAAACAGAAAAGTAAATGAATGCAGTGATAGGAGGTTAGAAAATGCTTTGGTGAATCAATCAGATTCCAGACTTTAATATGTGCTTGTAGACATGCATCCACAGCTTATTCAACAAGTACAATGACTGCTTTTAAAAATCTACATCATGCAAAGTAAAGACTTTTGTGTGTATTACACATGATCCCTCCTCACTGCTATATGTATCTCGACAAAATCATCATTCCATAGTTTTCTTTTTTTTTTTAAAGAACAGTGCAACTTGGAATTAGAGCATGCTATCTTTTTTTTTCTTTTGAAAAATATGCAGAATATAATTGAAGTGAGAATGAAGCCGTCATCAGAACTGTGTCTCTGTCCCTCAAGTTAAAATAGTGAACTCAAAACATCTTAATTCAATCCAGATCAGTAGTTGAAGTTCATTTTGCACTGTATTTGTTTTCCCTGTATATACGAGGTGTGTCAGAAAGGTTCCTGGACTGGTGTCACAAAAGATATATTTCAAATCCAAACTAAAAACCACAAGTTTTCCCCTTCAGACGATCAACCAGCACGTCTACAAAGAGACGCTGCGCTCTTTTGCGACACCAGTCCTGGAACTTTTCTGACACACCTCCTATATGTTTCTTTTGTTTGTAAGACATTCTACCGAATGGGTGCCATATGCTTGTTGAATCCTTTTCAAAATTAACTCTTTTTTCCCCCCCTTTTTGTCTTTTAATCATTTTTTCTACAATATTTCTAATAACACACATAGTTAACATTTCAAAATGGATAATGGTCCATCTGAAGGAACTTTTTTTTTTTAGTAGGTTTTTAAGCACAACATGGTTGCATTTTTCTCATTCCTGTTACCTAAACTAATGTGTCATTCAAAAGACATTCTTAAAACCATGTCAAGCAATTGTTTTGCTTTCTCCTCAAGAAAGTGCTGACTTTACAGAAATGGTTGTTTTTATGTTAAAACAACTGATATTTTGACCAAAATTCACTACACAGGAATGCAAGTTGTATTTTTCTCTTATGCAAAGCCCTTTCATTTCACTTAAAGGAGATCCAAACTTCAAAATTTCACTTTTCCTTTAATCATTTCATTTATTAAAGTACTGGATAAATGATGAGCCACAAANCAAAAAATCAAAACATTTTAGAGACAAGGTTTAACTCGAACGTTTAAAAATAATATTTTACAGTGTTTGCTGTTAATAACATTTTTCTAGTTTTTCAACTTTCAAGTATTCTATCATTTTTGGAACCGTAGCTGCCATATTTGTACACATTATGTACATTTTATCTTTTAATACAACTTTAAGAGGTCACTTGGTGTTGAATTTGTCTTCCTTTGATATAGCATTATATAAGGTAAACATGTTTCAATTTTACTTCAACACAATTGATGGCACGATTTACCCTTAACATGTTTTCTTCAAAGGCTCAATTCACCCCTTGCTGGGGCTAAGTTGTGCCCAGATAACACTTGTTTTTGGAAAGCCATATTTTAAAAACAGTAAATTTTAGATCCAAACCAGTTATTACCAGGGATGTCCCATATCCTGAAGTACAATGTACAGTGTGTTTTTGTTTTTTTTGTCACCAACTGTATGTGTGTGACGTGTTTCGTGTGCTGAGCGATCATAAAGGACTGAGAAGAGGTTCAAGGTGAGGCAGGCACTTCTCTTGCCTCATGGCAGGGGGCGCTCTGATCCCAGACATTCTCCTTGTGACTCCAAGCTCGGTGCAATCTACAATGAGCAAGTCTGACGGAAGATAAGCAGAGTTAAAAAAATTTTTTAAAAAAGTAACACATGTTTTTGTCGAGAAGGAGCGGTGCATGGACTTCATGTAGAAGTAAAGGTAAGACCACAATAACTTTTTTTTTATTTTTAAAGGAAATGTGCGTTTTGTGGGCTTCAGCTTATATGTGTAAAGAATGCAGATATGAACCATAACCCGTAAACTGCTGCCAATCAAAACGTAGCAACTGTGTAGAGTGCATATGTTTGTAAATCTGATTCTGATGAAGTAGGTGCCTCACCAGCCATGAACCTCACTGCATGTGACTGCCTATTGTTACAGTATTACGTTTTTAAAGACATGCTATAATATGACGTTTTTGTGACATTTTTCACGTCACACTATAGTATAACGTTTTGGTGATATTTTTTAGGACACACTGTAGTGTGACGTATTTGTGACAACATACGATACAGCAACGTTTCTGTGTCATTTTGACAAAACTCACATAGAACATCTAGAACAACCATCTAGACCCACCACCTAGAACCAACATCTAGAATCACCATCTAGATCCAACATCCAGAAAATGTCACAAAAACGTCATATGGTCGTATGTAGTCAGAAACCTCAAAAATTCCCTCCATTCCTGTCTACACTCCTTTGTATCGGTGTCATCAGGTGATCAGTTGTCTGTAGAGCACTTTGAACTGTGGTCATCTATATCAAAGGTGGGATA